TCCTGCTGAGATGAGACAGATATCTGAAATGTTTTTTACTTTTTTATTTGTACTTTCAATAGAGGAGCTAATGAATATTAATAAGGACATCTTGGCTATTTTCAGATTTTAGTCCTATCTGACTCCATTGACTCCATTACACTCATTCTTGTCCTGAAACATTTATCACCGGTAAAAATTTCAGTCAGTGGCTTTCTGACGTTGTTTCATTTTTAACTAAATAATTGTCTTAAAGATATTTTTATATCTTAACAAAAACTGCCCACTTGTACCTCAAAATCCTGCTTCCCCCTTGGTCAGTCTTTGAGTTGGATTTCAGAACTGAATAGAACTAGGAGTTTATTTTTTTTCCCTTCCACACTATTTAGGTCTTTGTTTAGTTCTGTCTTTAGGTTTACCTCAAGTTTTGATTTTGACTGATAAACCCACGATCCAAACCCAGACTTCAGTTGAGTTTAGTATCAGCCTAAAACCACATTAAACTGCCATGTGTCATATGACTTCTAGCAGAGACCGCAAGTGGTGGAGGTTTTTTTCCGTGAGGGCTTCTTATTGAGATTTTTGAAATATGAACACATTATCTAATACACATATTAAATTACTTGTGTATTGTAGTCCAAGGTCAGTCATCACTGGGAGGTTATTGACATTTACTCATCATAACAACATATACCATATTAGACCATCTGCTAACTCAGAATGCAGTTCCTGCTTTTCGGTTTACAGTTTTGACCAGTTATCTCTAAGGAACACGCAATCAGAAATACAGCCACCCTTCAGTAGAAGATTCTTGGCTCTGTAGATAAGGAAAAGGTGTTTCCGTGAAGGCAATATTTTTGTACTGTCTTAGAGTAGAAATGAAGACGTATACACAAAATGACCCAATGCTGTTTTCTTAGGGTGCATCCTTTGTTTTTCTGGTTTTGGTCTTTTCATCGTAGGATGGCCTTAGCTCTGTGTCTGCAGGCGCTGTGCAGCCTGGGGGGCTGGCTCTCGCTCTACATTTCTTTCTGTCGCCTGAATAATCACCGAAGCTATGAGTGGAGCTGCCGGCTGGTTACGTTCACCCACGGAGTCCTCTCGATAGGTCTCTCAGCTTATATTGGCTTCATTGATGGCCCTTGGCCTTTTACCCACCCAGGTAGGTGGGAGACATTAGAGAGTTTTCCCTTAGGAATTTATGATTTGGGGGTAGTCTTAGAAGGATGGGACTTTCCCACAGAATTTGTATAATACTGAAGAATACTGAAGAATAATTACTATTACAATGTGCTTTGGGAGTCTCCATTCATCTTCATTGTTAAAGCTGATATTGCATGTGTCACCTATTGCTTCTGCTTTTCATAACTCTCTATTTTCAAAGCAAATCTTAATTGCTTTTTACAATTTAATCGACCAAAATGTATAAATCATAAAGCTAATATCAACATCTACCACCAGCCCCAAACAGACACTAATGGACTGCATTAAACATACTTTTTGGTAACCTGCAATCTTTACTTGATTGTATATTCAAAGGACATCGTCTTTCCATGTCTATATATATAGATCTTCCTTATCCTTTTCAGTTGTTATATAATATTGTGTTGTATGCATTTACTATCTTTTATTTAACCAATGCCTCATTATTTGGGGGCAGCTATGTTAATTTTTAAGCTGCTAGATGTACTGATACAAGTGTTACTTCCTTAGAATACAAAACCTATATCCCCTTGAATTAGTTTTCTGGGGCTGTTATAACAAAATACTACAGACTGGTTAGCTTAAACAACAGAGATTGATTTTCTCACAATTCTGGAGGCTAGAAGTCCAAGATCAAGGTGTTGGCGGGTTTGATTTCTTCGGAGGCTTTGCTCCTTTGCGTGCAGAGCTGCCTTCTTGCTGTGACTTCACATGGTCTTTCCTTTGTGCCTGTCTACGTCCTAGTCCTAATGTCCTTGTTTTATAAGAACACTACCCTAACATCCCTATTTTAACTTAATTACCTCTTCAAAGGCCCTATTTCCAAACATAGTCACATTTTGAGGTACTGGAGTTTAGGGCTTCAACATACGAATTTTGGTGGGACATAATTCAGTCCATAAGTCCCCTAGAATATGATTTTTATTTAATTCCTTAGATTCTTTCTTTTTATAATTTCTTTAGATTCCCATGTTGAGCTTCTGAATTTTCCCCCAAACTGTCAAACTGATAGGAAGCAACTCTTAAGCTTTATATTTTATATGAAGGCTGTTAATGGATTCAAACATGTCAGGTTATTGCACCCTATGTTCTTGGATATGGGAACATACTAACTTTTGGGGTTCTCTCCAGAGTCCACTTTCAAGACGAGTTAGGGCCACCAATGTCCAATAATCTAACCCATTAAGCTAAGAAATTAATCTGACATTTGGGACAGAATAACTTTTCCATTATGGTTTATTACAGGATATTGAATATAGTTCCCTGTGCTATACAGTAGGACCTTGTTGTTTGTCCATTCTATATATAATAGTTAGCATCTGCTGCTAGTGGGAGAGGATAACTAAAAGAGTCTAGAAACAGAGCTTTAGCTGGTTAAAAAAAAGAAGACAAGAAAGAGACTGTGTAGGATTCTAATTTAAAGAACAAAATAACTGGATTTGATGCTGCTACACAGAGAGGACGCTGAGATAATTGCTGGTGCTTAAATCACTCATTGAGATCTGGTGCATCAGAACAGCATTTCCTGGGCCCTGTAACATTGGTTTGATGAAGACCAAAGTTTTAGATTTTAGTGTTTTGTTTTTATTTTTCTTTGTTTGGGTTTTTTTTTGGTTGCCTTTAAAAAGCACGTGCCTGCAATTGTTTTCAGTGATTCAGAAAAGTTTGAGAAAGAGCAACCCAGGATGTCTGCGTAAAGGTAACACGATTCCCAGCCACTCACTTTGCTCCTGTCTTGGTTTATTTCAGGCTCACCCAATACACCTCTCCAAGTGCACGTTCTGTGTTTCACCTTGGGCTACTTTATCTTCGACTTGGGCTGGTGCATCTACTTCCAGTCTGAGGGGGCCCTGATGCTGGCTCACCACACACTGAGTATCTTGGGCATCATCATGGCCCTGGTGCTTGGAGAGTCAGGCACAGAGGTCAATGCAGTCCTCTTTGGAAGCGAGATTACCAATCCCTTGCTACAGATGCGCTGGTTTCTTCGTGAAACAGGCCATTACCATAGTTTCACTGGAGACGTGGTGGATTTCCTCTTTGCAGCTCTGTTCACTGGAGTGAGGATTGGCGTAGGAGCTTACCTCCTCTTCTGTGAAATGGTCTCACCCAAGCCCAAGTGGTTTGTGAAGGTCGGGGGAGTTGCGATGTATGCTGTGTCTTGGTGTTTCATGTTTAGCATCTGGCGTTTTGCATGGAGGAAAAGCAGCAAGAAGTACCACACCTGGAGAAGCAGGCGGAGTGAGGAGCGGCAGGTAAAACACAATGGACATCTCAAGACTCACTAGCCAAGGCTTGCTCCAGACAATGGGTTGGGTTAAGTCAGCCACGGGAACCAGGCTGGAGATATGGCTGTTACAGAATCCTGCTTATGACAAGCTTAGGTTTCTAAAAAGGGCTAAATTTATCCATCCGTTTGGTCAGTCTTGGAGCAGAACACATCCCAGTATTAAAACACTAACTTCTGCAGCTGTGCAGTTGTAGAAAGTGAGACTACCAGCAGTAGTTGTAAGTCAGAACTGTGAGGGGAGCATGCTGCATTCCTTTTAAGTTGTGGTGACCCTGTGGCTCCTTTGTCTCTGGGAGGCTTGATGATCAGACAGCCTAGAAAGGAACTCAAAAAGCATTAGTGCTGTTTCTTCCTTATTCCTTTGAGAAGTGACTCCTTCAACAAATACTTATTCCTACTTTCTGTGTAGCAGCTTAAAGAAATGCACCTCATTTACTACAAAGTGAGGAACTTTCAGGAAGATACATGCCTTTGGCATTCTGAGCATTGGATCAGGAAATTGAATGGGGGGACAGAAGGATGAGAGAAGGATGTGGGTGAAACCGTGACGGTGGTGGGGGGATACTTACTGAGCCTCCCTGTACCATATACTTGGTATATTACCATAAAGGACTCCCTGTACTTGGGGGTCCCAAGATCACCCTCAGGCTTGGTGCTTTGCTAAGAGGACTCACAGTTTGATTTATTACAGCAACAGGATACAACAAAAGATCAGCCAAGGGAAAAGGCACCTGGAGCAGAGTACAGGGGAAACCAGGCCCAAGCTTCCAGAGCCCCCTCCCAGTGGGATCATGCAGGATGTGCTTAATTCCCCTAGCAACGATTTATTCACAATATGTGTGAAATGTCTAGAAAGAAGCTTGTTAGAGACTAAGTACCCAAGGTTTTAATGGGGGGCTGGACATGTAGGCAGTCTTTTCCTGACTCCCAGAAGGAAAGGAGATTTTCACCATGAACCACATTGTTTGTAGAAACAGCTTAGAGCCAGTGAGCCAGTCTCATCAGTTCATGTGGGAACCTTCCCAATGAAATCGAAGTCTTCAGATGTCAGCCAAGGGCCAACCTTGCAAACAGCCCTCTCCAGGCCTACTATATTAACTCTTTTCTGCACAAAAACCATAGAGCTAGAGCCTTGGATGAGAGATGGATGAGGTGTGGGCAGATTTACCGGGTCCTGTTGTACGGGTTCTGCCCTACCAGGAAAACTCTGCCAGTCCTCAGGGCTTTTGTGCATTAATCTCGTAGGCATGAGAGGCTGTGACTGAATTCCATAGGGATTTACCATGTGGATTCCACTGGGCTTGAGATGCCAGTTCAGGTTTCAGCTCTGCTATACATACTGCAAACCAGAACCAAAGACCAAATGTCCTGGCCTCAGGGTGATGAGGCTATTTTTTTTTCCATTTCAGATACATTACCTGTTCATCCTGTTACTACTTTTTCTCTGGAAAAGGTGCCACTCTCTCTGGATAATATATTATGACAAGGCCCGTGTTGGAAGGAAAAAATGTTTCTTAATCAGTAGTCTCTCAGCTATAGGAAAAGCAAGGACTTAAGTGTAGATGAAGGGCTTAGGAATCGAGAATTCTTCGTTTCTTTGCACTAGTTTGGCTACTCACCTGCCAGATCATTTGGGCAGGTCACTTGTTTACTCTGCTTCAGTTTAAACCCCATTGTCAATTAAGGAAATACCCCGTTGTGAATTTCACGGAGACATTAGGTGGTGTTTTATTAATGCAGGTCTTTAATGTAGGGCTTTTATGGGAAAAAAGGGAAGTTTTATTTATTTGTTTGTTTGTTGTTTATTCATTTGATTGCATTGTTGAGACCGGTGGTGAGCGAGGAGCGCAGCTGATGAGCGAGGGTATGGGGATGTTGAAGTCAAGGCTGGACGTGAGTAGGAAGTATCAGCCCATTCGATGGTAATCCTAGCCTAATGAGTGGTCTTGAAGATGGACGTCATTGTCTAGGCATGACCAAGTGGTTGGAACTGCATGAGGTCATCATTGCTCTGGGAAAAGCGGCTTTAAAGGCATGTTAACCGTGGGTCTTTTAAAATGACTGTCTTCTGGTTAAGGAGATTTGCTGGACATGAGAATAATCTGACAGTAGCATCTCCATCTCTTTTTTCCTATGATCAGTATCCCTGAAATGCTGGTTAGCTTCTTTCCAACAAAATTGTGGTCCAAGTAGGATGCTGGGGAATGCTGATTTTAGCAAAAGCCTAGTTAGAAAAAAACAAAAAAAAAGAGTGGCTTGGCACAAAAAAAAAAAAAAAAGAAAGAAAAAAGAAAAGGAAAAAGCCGTCTCTTGAGTTTTGGCACAGTGCAAGCTGTCCCATACCAGACAAATGAATAGACTTAATCTGGTACCATTCTTTTCTCCTTCCACCTCAGAAGTGAAGGGATTGCAGACCTTGCTCTTTTAGGGGAATGTACTTAGGTTTCTTGAATTTTGAGAAACCTACCTAGTGATAAGGGAAGGAGAATCCCTCATTTCAGCTTTTCTTGCTGTTGTAGCTGATAACTCTGAAGGAAACTCGCTGAGAGAAAAATGTGAAATGAAGGTGACTCAGCAGTTAAGATGCTGAGTCTGTACATGAGAGGTACATGAAGGGCTAATTAACATGTGGTGTGGTTGGACCCATGAAGTACTCATTTGCATTTAGATTACTATGTAATAGTCATTAACACTGCTCAAGAAGGATTTATATTTCAGTGAGATTTGTACTAAATTTTATAAAAATAAACAACTTTTTATCAACCCAGAGTCTGGCTTTATGTCTCTGTTCTGGTTCTGCCAGAAGCTTAAAAAAAAAAGGCTTTTGGCCTGCAGAAATGTTGACCCATATTTATACTTATCGGTAAAATACTTTGTAGCTGTTCTTACCATCCACCATTCCTAATACTGCTTACTTTTTGAGGCAACAATTACATATAGAAAACAGTTTGCCAAAAGAAGGAGGAAGAACTTAACTTCTTTCTTATTTTGCCACCTGTTTGAGCAGTTGCCTTGAGAATGATGATGTCCACTTGGGTCCACAGTAACAGGCCGTTCGGCTGTCCTCGGACTCTGCTTCCCATGCCTGGAACAGTGTTAGACACATAGTAGGTGCTCAATAAGCAGGTTGAAAGAATGGATGAAGGCATGAGGATATAGTTTAGAATTACCCCCCACTGGAAAACGTTCTCAAAGAGCTTGCACAGTGGATGGTGTCACCAATGTCATTTTTCTAGGTAAAGGACTAATGTCCCTGAGGTGTGTGTTCTGCTTAAATTGGTGTGACTCTTCTGAAGGTATTCTATACACAGACTTAAAACAGTCTAGAGCTATCAACGGCTGTAAAGAGGATTTCAGGGACATTTTTTACCATTAGAGCTTTGTGCCTGAATATAGAGATTTTCATCATTAAAAATAATAGCTGTGGAGTGAATAACCACTGACTTAATTAAATCCTTTGCTTACCATCTTCTGAAGCTTTCCCACAGCAAATGCCCTCTTTGCTCACAGCTAGAACTTTGGGTCTGTTTAAGTTTGGAAAGATCTTGAAAGCAGCCTGCCAAGAGGTTTTGTATGCAAGGAAGAGAAGGTGAATTAGGAAACTTTCCCAGTTTGTTTTATTCCTGAAGTTCGTGTAGTGAGGCATTCTTGAAGAGAAGAGGGGAACTCATTTTTAAAATGCATGATTTGATGAGTCATTGGGTCCAATTAATTTGATACCCATACTATAAAATTATTAGAATAGGGCCAAAAAGATATTTAGTATGTCTAAGATAGACAAATGTTTGGGGATAAGGTTTTCATTTTGGTCATTTTTTATAGATTGATGGAGCTCTTTCCAGTTACATGTAGAAAATGTGCAATTATGAGTTTTCAAGATAGAATTATCATGCTAGGGTACACCAGCAGGTGGCAATGTGTCCTGGTTGGATCATTAGGAAAGTGGCTTGGAACCCTAATCTGCTTCTATTCTTTCCCAAAATAAACATTACAAAATTAGCTGGCTGTGCGCTGAACTTAAAAAAAAAAAAAAATCAAGCAATAAAGAGTCATCTTTGGCCTCTGTTTATCTTTTTCTTTTTTTACCCGTTCTAACGTCAGCCTTAGCTCATGCATCTATTCAGGGATAATGATCCTTTTATGCACTGTTGCGGATTGACTTTTAGCAACAGCATTGTTAAGAAGTAATTGTTTCCCCTCTCCACGTCCACTGTTTGTTAGATTTGCTTTGCCACTTGATTTCCACAAAGAGGCTAAAGACCCTTACCCATCAATACAGGTTTGAACTCAAAAGTCTGAAAATAGTTGGATAAAGAGACAGCCACTTCAGATGTTTGCAGGCGGAATTGAAGAAATACATTATACATGGTACTTGAATCGCTGTAATCCTGAATTATGCAATCAAAACTGGACGGTTATCTAAATCTATCTACCCAGCAGGGAAAAAAATATTATTGGGGAACTCTTCAAAGAGAACTGTAATGCTATTTACTGGATAAATATATTTTATTTTCTGCTCCCATTTCTTTCCACAACAAGCTTGTTAAGTCGCTGTGGAAAGCACCATGCTTGCTCAATTTGGCAAATAATACATATCATTTTGCCAAGGCAGAAGCAGCCTAAACGCAAACATTATACGAAGAAATCCTGGCTCCAATTCCCCAGCCCTATACACCTCCATCCTCCAACCCTCTGCGTGCACCCAAGACTGGTGCGCGGCGGCTCCTGCCCTGGAATGTGGCCAGCAGGTGCCCCAGGTGAGCGGCCAAGGCCAAAACCTCTCTTTGCTGGGGTTTGTTTCGCAAGAGAGGAGTGGAGTCCGGTCACCCGGATCTGAGTTCGCTTCCATCGGCCAAAAGCAGTCTGTGCGTGTTATCGGAAAAGGAAAACAAGTATGCTGCCTTAAAGAATACAAGTTTCGAGGACAAGGGGGTGGGTAATTTCCAAAAAACCTCTTATCCACAACTCCTTGGGATTGGGGGCGTGCTCTTTGGCGGTCTCAGGCGAAAGCCGAGTTGGTGCAAACTAGACCCCAAAGTACAGATCTCCGGCATTCCCGGGGACCTGGGGACAACAGTGGGTTGGCGGGTGGAACTCCCAGAACCAGACGGAACCCACCTTCCTCCGCCCCGCAGAACTACTTTTTCGCTCCCTCCAACAAGACTGCGGCGGAGGCGTCCGCGCGCGCGCGGCGCACACCCGCGGTCGGCGAGCGGAGGGCGGTACGCGGGACAGCGAGCGCGGGTCGCGCGGGCGGCGGGGGCGGCCCGACGCGCCGCGGAGGGATCCCGGGTGAGGCGGCTTCCCGAAGTCAGAGGGGAGGAGGCCAAAAAAGTGGACGGGGGAGGGGAAGAGAGAGCTCGCGCTGGATGCGGCCGGGGCCGGGAAGTCAGAACCGGAACCGGAACCCGTGCGCGCGCCTGCGATTGTCGCGGGGCCCCCACCGCT